TCTCTGGGCGTCTTAAATAGAACGTGCGCTCGCCGCTACAAAATACCAGACTTAAACGTCACAATAGACCCCGGAGTGAAGATTGTGATACCAGCACAAGCGATACAAATGGATGAAAAGTATTTCGACAATCCAAATGAGTTTCGTCCGGAAAGATTTTCTCCGGATGAGGAGAAGAAACTGAATCAATACATGTATATGCCATTCGGTCGCGGACCCCGCGCTTGTATCGGTAAGTTGTTTTTTTTTTAGGGTTTCGTACTTCATAGGAAAAAAACGGAACCCTTATAGGATCACTTTGTTGTTCGTCCGTCTGCCTGTCAAAACCCTTTTTCTTGAAAACGCGTGAAGGTATCAAGCTGGAATTTATTTATATCATAAGATGGCAAACGAGCGAGCGGCCACATTAATTCGCGGAAATAGCAAAGCGACCGCTACTTATATACATCCGCAATTGCAGATACGCAGATAATTCCCCTTCATATGCATCCCCTCCTCCGTCAAATCCACTCCCCATTCCTAATAAGAAAAAGGGGGGAAGGTAAAAATTAAAATTAGGCCTCCGGCACGCTAATTTTGCTTTTATGTAACCCGTTGCAAAGATATTGGACTCTGATCATATTATAATTGCATTAACCTTGATGCATTTAACACAAAAAACTTGATTTTATCACAGCTATTAAGAGAAATATGTTTTCTCGTAAAATATTTAAAAAATCGTTTCGATCAATCATCACATCTTTATATTAATATACTAGCTGTCGATATATAAAAAAACTTAATTAGTGTACCCCACCCATCCATCCATCCACATCACATCCATCTAAACATTCGCATTTATAATATTAGTAAGTTAAATAAAAAGCAGCTCTTTAAGGGATAAATTCGAAAAAAAAACAATAGTATCCTATGTCCGTCTCCCGGCTCTAAGCTGCCTCCTCACCAATTTTCCATATCGGATAAGCCGTTCTTGAGTTATAAATAGTGTAACTAATACGACTTTCTTTTATATATATATATATATATATATATATAGATATAGATTTATAAAAATCTTATTATTAGATCTTTAAGTAAAGAGTTTTGTAAAAAAGCAAGGTATTCTGAAATATTAAAAAGTTATATTCTAACTTTTTATAATAATAACAAAAACTATAAACACTATCATAAAATTACTATTTACTAATACAGATAATATAGATTGCAAAACAAAGAAGATAAAGTTGCACCATACAAAGCAAAGCAAACAAATATGCTCTCATTAATAAATATCTAGTAAACAAGTCTCATAAGTTCAAAGTCCAAATACAACAATACTTCGTACTTGTAACTTAACTAATTTCTGACGAAATACATCTACGAAAACATGTGTCCCATCTCTATTTATTAAAAGTAAATGAAAAGGATGACGATATCATACATCCCTCTGGCTTTTAGTTATCTACAAAAGGGTTTTTTATTTGCAAAATACAAATTGCAATAAAGGCAAAATAAGCAAGCGATTAAAATTGTTTTAAGAGAAATCTCATAAAAACTAATATAATTATACAATATAAGGGAGAATTCGAATGATTAAACATTCATATAGTTTTTTTTTAAGAAGAATTTATTCCACAAAAGATGCGGAAAAACAACTTAAATTAGCGAAATCTTACTTCTTACTAACATTATAAATGCGAATGGATGGATGGATAGATGGATGGATGTTTGTTTTTAGGTTTATAGGTTTAAGATCTCGCTGAAATTTGGCATACACATAGAACATAGTCTGAAAGAACGCAAAAAAAAGCAAGAAAGTTGCGGGCGACAGTTAGATATAAAATGATATCTACCAAAATATCAAAAGCATTTTAATCCAATGAATATTATGGTACAGGAACTCGTCTGGGTGAGATGCAATCACTGGCGGGTCTGGCGGCCGTGCTGCACAAGTTCAGAGTAGAACCGTCGCAGCTGACGCGACGTGATCTCAAGGTCAATCAATGGATGAACGTCGTACAAGGAGTGATCGGCGGTATACCACTGAAGCTTACACTGAGAAATACTTAGAATAAGTAAAAACGTATTAATGAATACTTACATTTTATTGTATTTAATGTCACCGGCAAATAAAGTGCAATGCCAGTTTCAAATTTGCGTTGGCACAACATACAAATATACTCTGTATTTAACGTATATTTTAATCTATGATAAATGTTGTTTTTGTTTACAAACTGTCAATTTTATCATTTTGTTTCTATAGTACACTTACTATACTATACTCTTTGATTTTATTATTTTGTTTCAATATTTCATAAAATATGTATAAAATGTTTTGAAAATTAAAGCAATTATTTACTAATTTTTAATTAATTTACAATGTCTTTTCATTATGTAAGGATTTACTATGGACCCTATGATGCATTTCACACTGTCTCTCATAAACCGCAAAAACTTAGAGGACTCAGAGGTAATAAATAATACTTAGTATCTCCTATAGGTACGCATCAATTGGCCTGTACCGGATATTTGTTTGCTTTGTATGATTTTACATAGCGCTGCGTCCATCATCAGCACCGCCCGCATCGCATCAGGACAAAACAAATCCGTTTATTCCGTGCGTGCAGTGCGTCCGGAGCGGCCCAATGGACGCGTACCTTACATCTTCAGGAATTATAGAAATCGTACAAACGTCGCACTAAAAATCAAATGTAGAAAAGATTGTACATCGTTTATTCCAATAATCCTTATTTTCAATAGCCAATCATAATACTTCATTAAACTATGATGATTTAGAGATAGACAAAACGACAGTAGATTTGATTATAGATCTTAATGTGAGTTCTAATTTTCTTCTATTACAAGAGTAATATATCCTCCAGATCATCTACACAAGCTGGGCTACCGCGTGGACCTCGTTCCAGTCGAGTTCGTAAATTACTGCATGCTGGAGATGTGCGGCCATGAGGTATCATAAAGTCTCTAATAAGTTCATTGTACAACAAATTACAAGTCTGAAAGAAATTCTGTTAAAAAACAGAGCTCTATGTTAAAAAAACAACTTTCAATGGAGGTACGCTTAACTTTGTCTGGATTACACACATTCATAACACTTATTATCCGCAATCTTGAAATATATATATATATAATTATCTGTTTATAGGTATCATTAATTAAACTTAATATTATCAGGTATTTAGATGCAACATCCAGAACCTTCTGTTCAACACGCCAGCGGAACTAGACCCTGTTTGCATGCGGGCTGTAGACGCGGTGGTCGATGCCTCCGCCAAATTCCTACGAGCGAGAAACTACCTTTGGTTCTGGGCGCTTATTGACAACCAGTTGTTCAGGAGAAGCGAGTTCGCGCCAAAAGACCATTGGCCTTTCGATGTGGACAAGGATAGTTATGATACATGTATGGAGTGCACTTACTGTTGTGGTAGTTTAAAGAAAAATAAAAAGTGATTTGTAATAAATAGGGTTAATTTAGACAATTTTTAAGCTTTGTTATTTTTTGTTTACTAATTTATTGCTTTTAGACAGTTTTGTTAGTAATAATCTATTTATTCGAATGTATTTTATTTATACGTTTAAATTGATAAGTTTTGCATATGATAAATATAGAGAGGGAACTATATCAAGTCTGTTGTGATTTCGCTTTTATAAAATAAATATCGTAATAATGACAAAAGAAAGAAAGAAATTAAATTCCAATTATTTTTGCCAAGTATAATTCATTTCAAAGTTTGTAAACATTTATCATGATAGTAGATCTATGTCGTAAGATGACAAGAGACATCTAAAGCAAATTACGGTCGCAAGTCACACGGTTATTTGTTCTGTTTTCATTTTAACTAGATATGTTTTTATACTAGTACTAGCTGTACCCAAGACTCTGTGCGCGTGGAATTAAAAAACTTAATTAGTAGCCTATATGTTCTTTCACAATGTCTTCTACATCCATGCTAAATTTCAGCAAGATCCATGCAACCGTTCTGAAGATACCTTCAAACAAACTTCCGTCTATTCATTAGTAAGTTATGTAACAAAAAAATATTGCGTCATTCCATCGATCTAGTATTCTGTCAGGCCCTTTTATTTGTACCTTGTGCGTGATTTGTATACTCATCGCAAAGTACTGTATGCGTAAAACGCCTGATGCGTTGCAATTAAGTCCGCTCTATATTTAACTACGCGCCCTTGAAAAATATCTTGTATCATCGTACGTTTTCACTGACGAAACTCTTGTATATTATCTAAATGTTTTTTTTTTCAAGAAAATACATCATAATTTTTTGTGTATGAATGTTTCGTCAGTGGAAACACTCGGGAGTGTAAATAAAACCTTTCTGTATCGATTTATTAAAATCGCGTTATTCAAAATGCTACTATGACGTTTCATTTCCAAGTGTTATCACAGTTTTGTTCCATCTTTTACGAATAAAATTATTTTAAAGGAAACAATATTGTGATTTTAAATTGATTTATATTGAAACAAGTTACAAGGCTGACTGGGTCGCATGCACAGTCCGTCGACGTGAGACTGGAGCGAAAGAAAAATTCGCAAACACTTCCCTTACACGATAACCCCCTACATCAGTTAAAACACTTCGATATTTTTCTTTTACTCCACTCTTATACAATTTCATATACAAACTGGTTACTTTTCGACATACATAGTACCTAATAATTCGAATCTGAAACCAGTCTCGCTACACACTAGCGATATTTCATAACTTAATTTCTTATATAAAAATTGATGTTCGATAGTGTACAACAAGCTTTATAGCATGACGTAATAATCGGCTACTTAATCACACAAACAATCCGATATATTTATATATATATTGAGTTTCACATACTATTCGTTAGCCGTTTTATTGCGCCATGACATTTGTGTCAACTCTAAAATAAATTTAGAACTTACAATTTTTGTAAACGTGGTAAAAACAATACATCGGATTAATTACAATTTATCAATTAAAAATAAAATGGTTACTTTAACATTAAACATGCTCTTTTTATTTATTTTTTGCTTTTAAACTTTGTGTAAACATATCTCCAATTCCTACTTGTAAAATTTGGTCAAACGCCACATAATATTTTTACAAGAATAAAACACAGACGTTAATTATAAAGTAATATTGTAATTATATTTTACTTTGTGATGTGAAAACACGTTAGGGATTAAAATGGTTGGGTTAAAATTACGAAATATCACAAGGAAAGGGGATGAAAAGAGGGGAGAGGGTATAATAAGATATTGCGTGTGTTCATGTATGACCACTAACACCGAACTTTCCAAATTTTTGGATACATTTTGAAAATATAACCACGTTTACATAACCCTACCTTAATCAAGAATAACTTTAAGGAACTTCGCACACAAACCTCGTAAATCTGCGGGATTCGGCGATTTTAGTCGCTAAGCGATTCAATAATTGTAATATAAAAGTTCACAGGCACACGTCGCCGACATTTTGTTCGTAGATATCACCAATTGTTGGCATCCTGTTTGTCAAGACCTTCGTAAGAAAAGTAGTTGTGATTTTCAAAATGGCGACGCGCATCGACAATTCAATGTATAAAGCGCGCAACGCAATACACGCGACGCAACACTACAATATTGATTTCGAATATTTACGTTGCTTTGTGTACGAAGGGATAATATTGTTTTCTCTATTTTTTTTAAACAGCATGAAAGGGATGACAATATGTTTTGGCATTGAAAACTTCGCAGTTACACTATAGACCATCATTATCAAAAGAAATTTACAATGGAAACTATAGTAACATAAATACGAACAATTACAGAACTAATATAGATACACCTAATACCGTATTAATATAACAAATAAATTTATTGCGTATATTTTATTTATAATAGTGATTTATTTATGTTGCTTTCACGACACGACCCGGGATCAAACGTATTATAAGATGCAAACTTTACGGCCGCTCAAGATTTGCTGGAAGCGAACATTACTCGACTGCAGGTGGAGGATAATTACCGCAGCCTCACTCCTCCCATTAGCGTTATCCTCCGCAAATCCTACCGATATAGATATATAACTAAGATATGATTCATACAAATTAGACATCTTATATAGATTTCCTAATGTCATTTTATATTTTAAATGTTCACATTGAAGAAATTTGCACAACAGGCCTCCGGAGGCCTTTAGTTGCCTTATAGATTAGGTATCTAATGGTTACAAATCAATGAGAACTGTTCTGTGCATCGTCTCATTTCTTGCGAGCCGCCATAAAGTTTGAATAGTATTATAACTGGCTATAAAATACTGGGAATATATTAACATTAATGCGAAACCAAATAACATCTTTTCAATATTGTGCCTTACATTATTACGACTTATGAAATATCATGTAACCGTACATTTAGTTGATTATTTCAATTGTATTTAGTACAGTCACTAAGAAAATATTAATGATATTCTTTATATCTATTTTTATTTTTTTTAAATAACTGCTATCAACTGTACAAATTACTTTATAATTTTATGGTAGAAATTTTCTTAACGACTGTACGTAAATTAAATTTTGGATACATTTTCAATTAATCTGTATATTAAATGCAGAACAAAATAATATAAAGCTTTAGCAGTTTCACACTGATTATATTTTATACACATGTCTCCTACCATTTGTTCTGTTTTCACTTCTTACGATCGAGTTTAATTTCGAGTTGAAGTATTCGAAATTTCCGGCAGTTTATTCCATTGGTATTTATATTATTTCATATTTAGGAGTTTTTAAATTATTTTATTATACCTAATATTTCTCTCTATTTCTTTCCATAGCTATTTCTAATATGTTAATACAGTTGAAATAATTTATTAGTTTTAAATATAAATGTATTTTGTAGTATTGAATACCTGTAATTTAATTTTTTTGGATAGCCTCAGTCAAATAACTTATGCGAAATATTTAGAATTTACAAATAAATAATCATGCACATTTACTTGACAACTTAAAATTTTAATGTCGTCTATCAAACATTATAAAACCTTTTTTTTAAAACTGCAACATTTTATTGTTAACAAATATATTTGTATATA